ACGTTGATCGCAATGATGCCGTCAGAGATGTTGGCGAACTTGGCGCCGAGCTCGGTCGCGGAGGCAACCCCGCGGGCCAGTTGAAGGTCTCGACGCCGAACGGCTCGAGAGACGGAGCGCATCCTGTAGACCCTGCCAGCCAGGAAGCCTGTCTTGTTGAAATCCCCAGTGGTACGGCGGACCCAATCATCGCGAACCAGCTGGGCGGCCTCCGCCAAGAGGCGCTCGCGGGTGTGCCATCGGCTGTCCAACGAGACGCATTCGAAGCTGGTGGCTTCCAGGAGCTGCTGGAGGTAGATGGCGCAATTCGGATCGCGAAAGATAAAAAGGGTGGATGGCCTGCTCGCCCTTCGGGGTGCGCGGCTTGATGCCGATCGAGAAAATGATGATAGCGTGGTCGCTAAGGCGATTGTCCGAGAACAACGCGGCGTCGCGCACCGCGTTCGCGTGGATCGAGAGCTCCTGGGCGGCGCGCGAGGGCAGGCTGATGAAGATGCGGTCGATGGTCGCGGCTGCGAAGTCCGAGCGGTTGAAGCGCGCGGGGGGCCCGGTCTCAATTTCGAGCGCGGAGTGGAGGAGGGGCTTCAAGAAGGGCTGCTGCTGGCGCGTGCTGTTGCCCAGCGCCAGCCTGGCGCGCTGCGGCTGCGGCTGCAGGAAGCTTTGCGGCGGGCGGCTAGCTAAGTTGATGCCCCCGATCGCGATGGGGGTGCGCATGCGGTAGTTAGTTTCCGCCCAGGTGCGGCGCAGCTTCCAAGCCCGGTGGAACTCGCGGCGGTCCGCGTCGGCGATCTCGTGATTATGCGCGCTAATAAGGACCAGCGTGGCGTGCGCGACGGCGCGCGCGACGGCCGCCAGCTGGACTCCTGGTCTTCATGGGCGAATAGCGGGAGCTGGTTCGGCTGCAGCTGCTCGGGCTCCATCGGGGTGAACCAGGGGATGCGCGCGGCGACGCCGCCCGCGGCGTTCGGGCCGTCGCCGTCGACGCGCGGGGGCTCAGAGAAGAAGAGCTTGTAGGGGCACGTCTGCGCGTCGACCCAGATGCGGGGCAGGGCCTCCGGTCCGTGGTCTTCTTGCAGCGTGGTGACGCACTTGCGCTTCATGTATTTCACTAGGGCGGCCTGCTTGCGACGGCGGCGCTTGCTCTTGTAGCGCGCGAGGGCTCTGGCGTTCCACGTGGCGATAGTGGTCGGCCCGGCGGCGTCGTCTACCCTCCGCGGAGCCCAATGGTGGTTGGGATCGTCACGTGGCCGACTCCGTGTCAGCAAAGAAGAGCGCGCGGAAGGAAGTGATGACGTTGCCGCGATCGCTGCGCTGGAACTGCGGGTGGTCAGCGGCCTGGTCGCTCCACTGGATAATGGGCGGATCGGCATGACCTCTGACGACGATTTTGACAATGGGCTTGGAGTCAGCGAGTATTTCGCCTTTGTTCCTGAGCGCCCCTCATCTCTTTCCAGGGCATCGTTGTTGCATAAACTGGGGTAGTTTCTCTGTTTGAACTTCGGTGCGGGTCTGCTTGGGAGGCTTGTCGGGGTTGAGGTATATGTATCAGTGCTGTCCAGCGATGTCTGTCGATGAAAACCTTCCCCGCTTCCCAGCGGCATCCTGGAGGGCGCGCGATAAGGCAGGGGCGCGAGGCACTGCAACAGCATTATCTCCTTTGACTTGCAGAATGAAGCGGCGAGCAGGTGCGCCACCGAGGAGCTCGACGCGGCTTGACTGTAGGTTGGCAGCGGCAATCCACCCTTGGAAGTCGTTGGGCAGCTAATCTGGCGCGATGAGGCGCTAGCTACTGATCGCGAAGAGCGCCGGGTCGGGCTGTCGGCCCCGCTCGGCAAGGCGGTTGCGGTCAATGATCGGCGCCTGGGCTTCGGCGAGGGCGAGCGCGTCGCGCATCTGGTCGATCTGTTGCCACGTGCGTTGATGCTCAGCAGCTTGGCGGCCTTGCTCTCTGCGAGCGCGGGCCACTTCGTCGTGTAGAGCGTCAACTCTTCGCTCAATAGCGATAATTTGCTGCTGCGCGAGACGTCTGAAGCTTTCGCGAGATTCGGCGAGTAGCTGGTCGGCTTGGGCTTGAAAACGAGTAGCGGCTGTGGCGACTTGACGTTGCATAAGTTCACGAAGGGCGACGTCAAGATCTTCAGGGATCCAAGAAAGCGGTGCGTTTCGCTCAGGCGGGGTAGGTAGCTGCTCCAGAGGAGGCGCGGCGTGTCCATCAACTGGCGCGGCTGCGTAGCGGCTGCGGCGGCAACTTCTTGAGATGGGAATGTAGGAGCCAGCTCGGTGTCGCGCGCAAGCTGTGAGCCGAAGTTGCAGTTGGCCCAGGGGTCGGCGGCGCCCAGGAGCGGGTCAGCAGGCGGAAGATCATGCGGTGGCATATCTTCATATTCCATGGCCACGGGGGTGGCTTCGGCAGCGGCACGGCCGCCAGATCTGGCTGAGGATCGCGCTGACGTGGGCGGCGGTCTCGCGGCGCTTCGACCAGAAGCGCGTGAAGGAGCACCTGCGTGGCCTTGGCTGCTGAAGCCCGTGTAACCGAGCTGTCCGATATGTTTTCGAGCTGCACGTCGCCCATCTCGGCGAGGCTCTTCACGGCGGGGTTGGCGGTTGTCACCACGTTCGCGGCGGCGAGGCTCGTCGAGGCGATGTTGGCGGCCTTCGCGCCTGCTGCGAGACGTGGACCCGTTCGTTGCGGATTGGCTTCGGTCAAATGAGGCAGCCGACACGATGTCGAAGTAGCTGGTCGTAGTGGGAGCGGGAGCTGGAAGCCAAGCACCTGCAGAGATTCTTGTCCAGAACGTGGCGGTTGTGGCACAGGCCCAGGAGGAGGTAGCTGAGCGCGGCAATTTGGCTTGCGAGCCAGTGTAAGGAAGATCTCCGTGCAGCACGGTGCGGCGAAAGCCAACAGCTTGCCCAACGAGGGCGCGAATATGAAGGGCAGCCGCTAGCCCGTGATTGTGGCAGCAAGGAAAGGCGGCCGCTGGCCTGAGGTTGTGGCGGCAGACGAGTGGATGCTGGATCGCTCGGGAGCCTACCCCGCTGAGGCAACGAATGAAACGCCATTTGGCCTTGAACCAAAATGGCTACGGAAGAGGAGGAGGAGGAGGATCACGAGGAAGAGGGATGTTTGAGAGCCGTCTCAAGTGTTCTGGGGACTCTGCTGTGGCAGTGTGGTGCCGGCTCGGAGGCCCCTTTTCAACGGAGCCATCTTGGGACTCTCTTGGATACGCCCTGGTCAGAATAATTGCGCATGTCGTACCTGGTTAATCATATGGTTTAATCGATACATCAGTCAGGTGTCTATACGTTCATAATTACACACGCGCGCACCTGTAGACGTATACGTGCTCAACTTTACCGTATTTGTTTGATATGCAGGGCGGGAGCGAACCTCTTCCGCAGAAAGCTAAGCGGGACGCGCACAGCTTTAACTAGCAGAGAAAAAAGCGGAAGAAGGCGGGGCCTCACGCGGCCAGGAGAGGGCGAAGCCCGGGGAGCAGGCATTGCCGAAGTGGACGTGCAGGAAAAGGTACACCTTGGACAGGAGCCTGGTGGTGAAGTCCTGGGAGGAGAAAGCCGGTGGTGGAGCCGTCAGCGGCGTTTCGAGAACACCAGCCACACAAACTGCGGGAGAGGACGAGCCACTTCATCAGGTCGACGTCCGAGAGGAAGAAGAGCACCACAGAGTTGGAGTGCAACGTTGTGCCACCAAAGTGATGTCAGGAGTACCAGCCGTGGTAGTCACATGTTCAACCTAACTTTTCCCTGCATAATGCTCACATGTGAAAGCAAATCATATACATACATGATATCAGACGGGGGCCACCGACGCGGACACTTAGAAAGAGAGAGAGAGAGGAACACCACAATAACGAAAAGAGAGGGGGAGAGAGAAAGACAGAGAGGGAGAGAGAAAGAGAAAGAGGGGAGTACATACCGACAATGCTTTAGACGATCTTCGTCTCGGGTGGGGGGAGCCTGGGCCCTTCTATTGGCCAGCGCGCATGCCCTCGCACCACTTCGTGCGTGGTTCGTTAATCAGTCAGTCAGGGGGGAAACAGCTATCTTTGGAGGGCAACCGTGGCGCCACTTGGGAGCGTCCCGCGGCGTCTGGGCGTCCTCCCCCGGGTCGCTGGGCCACCTGGCGGTTCTAGGCGCTCTCGCGGGCCGCCCGAGCTGATCGCGAGGAGCCCAGTTGGAGCGACCAGGCCCAGAAGACCCAGGGCCCGGGGAACGCCCAGAGGGGTCGCCCGCAGCAATTCCATGTTTGTGGCTGGTGCGAAAGAAACTGAGAAGTCAATTGAGGGACGTGCGGAACTCATGCGCGCGGGCATCTCCACCCCCCACTTCTCCACCGGCTGCAGCCATGGGTGCTAGGTGCACATGCCGCAACTTCTCTATCGCAGGTGTGCCTGCGCTCGCTGCCGGGGAATCAGGCTTCTCGTTGCCCGCGTTATTTTCGGCGGGGCCCGATAACTTCGACTGCCTGTGGACCCTCCGCACCTGGACCTGCCTTTCCCAAATCTGCAGTTTCCCAGGATTCTGGGTGTCAGCACGTTGTGGAGATGGGAAAATCCACCAGGCCCGCCCCCCTGGAATGTATAATATTGTTCTGCTAGGAAGCTAGAATACTTCAGTGCGGGGGGGCAACGACTTGCCATTGGGCGGTTCAGACGAATATTGCAATTAGCTGGGCATGCTGATATGAATGCGGCTGTTGCCAACGTCGCCTTGCATGATGGAGTACCGCCGGTACCACAATGACGGGCGCCTTGTAATCACTGGCATCCCTAACAGCACAACGACTACCACAGGCACACAGGCAGGTATCAAGAGCAGCCCAAAGTGCAAAACCCACATTTGCATCGTGATCAACATCGAACTTGCGCCCATTCTAGTGAGCACCCTCAAGGATAAGCCTATGCCCATATGGGAGTTGACGTGCGACTTGCGTATTCACATGCTTGACTGCTCGCCACGCAGAGCGAAGCCACCGTGGCGTCCTCTTGACTCCTGGTCAGTGCCTCCTCGAGCTCAATGACGCGGTCCTTCGCAGCCTCCGACTCGTCGCGAAGCTGCGACACACACTCCTTGAGAGGGATATTACTCTGACCGCATCGCACGCTAGGTCGTGCTGGTATGACGAGGAATGCATGCCACCGCTCTTCGTCATTCATCCTCCTTCCTCTTCTACCGGGTCTTCACGCATCGCGCGCGCACCTGCTGGGAGCGCAGCGAGCGATCAGAGCTCGACGTGCGAGCCACAGCGCTCGCAGGCCGACCGCCAAAGCACGCACTGTAGGCGCGGTGACGAGGCCGTTGTAGGCTCCCAATGCCTGGGCGAAGCCACGGGTGAATGGGCCTCTGGGGAGCCCTGGAAAGGGCAGACGCCATCCCTCCTGGGTGGGCGGCGCGCGCGGGGGGGGGGGGGGCGCGAGGGGGGGGGCCCCCTCAGAAGGCTGGGTTAGCAAGCCTTCTCCGCCTCGAGGAAGCCTTACAGCAGGAGCGACCCCAGCATCAACTCCGTCGGACCTCCTCTCTTTGGGAGGAAGCGGGCCGGGCCGCTGCTGGCCCCCATGCGGCTCTCCTGGGCCCCTCGTCGGGGCCTCTTGGGTGCGTCTGGGGACCCCCAGGGGTCCACCGAGGCAGGGCGCTCCCAGGAGCCCTCGGGCCCCCTCCTGCAGGCCTGACTGCGTCGTGGGCCCGTCTGGGCCATCAAGGCAGGGCGCCCCCAGGGGCCCCCCAGGGCCCCTCCCTTCAGGCTGGGGCAGGCGCGCGCCCGAGGCACCACGCCCGCTGGTCCGCTGGTCCGCGGGCGGCCAGTCGCAGTGGTGCGGCGCCTCGCGGCTCGCATGGAGGCGCGAGGTGAGTCCCCATGCGAGAGCAGGGAGTCGACTACGTGCAAGAGTGACCCTGGGTAAGAGTGCCCTGTGGTGCACGGCTTTTTGGAGTCGCGGGGGGGCCGAACACAAGCGCGCAAGACGCTACTACCGCATCGCGTGCGGCGATCGGGGGGCTCCAGTGGGCCCGCACCAAAGGTCACTCCGGCGAAAGGTCACTCTTACGTGTAGTCGATGAAGGCAGGAATGAGGGCAAAACGAATGCAGCAAAGACGAGTTGAGTCCCGTGAGTGCCGCTGCCAAATGGACGACGTCAGACACGGGAGGTCAAGCATTTTCAGCGAGCGTGTTTCCGATTGCTTTCGACCATCGGGGCAGCCGTGGGCATCTCGAGAGGGTGAAGCCTGCCCTGCTACCAGTTCGAGGGAAGAAACACGCTGAACATTACCAACATGTCGCGGGATCTTGACTTAGGTCCGGCAATAGCGACTCAAGGTGGTCCACCGCCAGATCGCGCGAAGAAACTCAACCCCCCAAAAACATCAAAACATATCTAAGCCAAAACCTGCGAAAATCTCAACCCACCAAACAACTACAACAAAATTCTAAGCCCAAACCTGCGAAAATCTCGAACCCACACAAAGCTGCAACAAATATCTGAGCCAAAACCTTGGAACATCTCAAGCCCTAAAAAACATCAAGAACACTTTAAGCCAAAGCCTTGGAAAATCTCAAACTCTGAAAAAGCTCCGAAACATATCTAAGCCGAAACCTGGGAAAACATCAATCCAAATAAGAGCTTGAAACCGAAACTCTAAAGCAACTCTGAGAAAACTATTGAAACAATCTACAAAACGATGAACGCTTAAAACCTTGAAAAAAAATTGAAAACTCACCAAACGCCTGAACACTATAAACCAGCTGGAAACAACTCTTTAAACAGTGATAGCAACTCTAAACAAATCTCTGGCGCCTGACAAACTCTAAACAAACATCTGGGGGAGGGGGAACTTTACGTGCAGACCCCGGCGGCACCGGAACAATCCGGCAGTTGTTTGTTCAGTTTCTAAGCGCGCATCTGTTTTCTGATTTCTCTGCGTCACGTTGTTCTGGAGTTTCGGACTCATGTTTGAGGGGGGGGTCCGATTTTCCGAGGTGTTGGCTGAGAGTTTTTGTTGCATTTGTTTGGGGGGTACGATTTTCCCAGGTTTTGATTTAGAGATGTTTTCTATTTTTTTGGGGGGGGAAGTTTCCTGTTAAAGGTGTTCCTAAGATTTCGGGAGGTTGTCTCGGTGGACCTCCTGTAGTATGATTGCCGAAGCTAAATCTTGTCGACGCCGATCTTAGTCCTGGTCCGTGCCGGCCGTCGCAGATTCGCGATAATGATCTACGAACTGACGCTGACCGAAATGCTAAATAATGACAAAACTCGGCACCAACGTTTCCGCGTTCAGTCTTGGTCGTGGTCACTGTTTTCCAGTCGGTAGACTCGGGTTGGCCTGACGGGGCCGTCAAGATCATGACGAGAGCCAATCTGCAATTTTACGCGAACTCCCGCTGCAAGCATCCCACGAAAACCGGACTAGCAAAACCCGGGACGGGCTCGTCAGAAAACGTCGGCAAACCAAAATTCCGGCGAACTCGAGTCTTATGCTTCCGGGTGTTTTCCTCCACCTGTGCTGTGCCAAGGCCTGGAACCTGGCGACCCGGCAAAGGCCGGCCGGGCCCCCAGGAACCCTGGAGAGGAGAGCGCGCCAGTCGGCGTCATACGCCCTGGGGCCCCCGCGGGGTCCATTTCGCATGGGCGTGCCAGGGGGGGTGTCCTGCTCCTCGTCTTCCTCGTCCTCTTCCTGCTCCTCCTCTTCATTCTCTTCCTCCTTCTCCTCCTCCTCCTCCTCCTACTCCTCGGTCTCCCCCTTCTTCCTCTTCCTTCTGCCTGAGCCGGAAGTTATACTCTGTCCCTTTCCATGTGCCAGGATGTAGTTAGCAGTGGAATGCCTCCCCCTCGCGCCCTCGCCATCCGGCCTCGTCATTCCCCTCACTCGCACGCAGACTAGCAATCTCAAATTCGCTCGTACCCAGACCCACTCATACTCAGACTCAACTCATACTCGCTCACGCCACTCATGCTCAAACTCATTCATGCTCAGACTCGGCCTTAAATCAGAATAACCCACACGCAGATTCTCCCATGGCCAGATCCACTCATACGCAGGTTCGCTTGACATGCTCAACCTCATCCGTGCGCGTTCTTGTCCTCATCTCAGAAATATGGATGAGTGCTTACTGATACTCGTGTGACGTATCCACCTGCACACCTCACATCACCTCGCCCACCACGTCCCTCCCGTAGGCAAGTTTACTCACACGCAGACTCAGTAACCGTCAGACTCCTGCACACACAGACTCACTCACTCTCAGACTCACTCATACTCATACGTACGCATGCCTAGATCCACTGATACTCAGACTCAGTCACGCTCAGACTTACTCGTACTCGAATTCGCCCCCACTAAGATTCAGACCTATGATAAACCAGGCTCCTTCACTGGTGCTCAATCCCAGTAGGGCTCAAACTCACTGATCACTCACATCACCCATCGCGATGCGGCAGGCACTTGTGCTGTCCAAGGGGGGCCGAACAAGGTATTGTCACGGGCCCGTTCGCGCTCACATGGGTGAGACCTTTCAGGTAGAACGTATACTTTTGTTCCTGGGAAGGGCATATCCGTTTTATGAGCCTTGTGACCACCGCGATGTAGCAAGCATCGCATTCGTGCCTCCCCACGGGGAGCCGATCAGTCATCACGAGCCGTTCGCGCCAAAATTGGCGGGATCTCTCAGGTAGATCGAGGGAACGGGGGGGGAAGAGGCAATGAGGGGGGCGGGGGGGGGGGCTAGTCCAGCAAATGCATTCTGCCTCCGTCCAAACCTTGTCATCTGCCTCCTCCCCCTCCTCGACCATTTTCCCATCGACATCAACTCAGGAAACATGCGCATCCGTACAGAAACGTGCTGAAATTTCTCGGAGGGGACCGGTCGACTCAAAACCGTGCTTCTTCTCCGTCCTCATTGACCTCTCCGTCTCCTCATTGAAAAACCGCTGCATGTCCTTGTATCCTCCTCGTTATTACCACCATTGTTCCCTACCTAGGCTCTGCCTAAAAGGGCTCTTACCCTCTATGCTTAAAGGGGCCGGGCAGTGGGCCCCGCCCCGGGCGGTTCCCCCAGGATCCGCCTCGCGGTTCCCCCAGCAACGTCCCCTAAGCTTAGCGCTGCTTAGCTTTAGCTTAGCTTTAGCTTAGCTTTAGCTTAGCTTTAGCTTAGCTTTAGCTTAGCTTTAGCTTAGCTTTAGCTTAGCTTTAGCTTAGCTTTAGCTTAGCTTTACCTTAGCTTTAGCTTAGCCTTGCTTAGCTTTAGCTTAACTTTACCTTAGCGCTACCTTAGCTTCAGCTTAACGTTAGCTTAGCTTTAGCTTAGCTTTAGCTTAGCTGTAGCTTCGATGTAGCTTAGCTTTAGCTTAGCTTTAGCTTAGCTTTAGCTTAGCTTTAGCTTAGCTTCAGCTTAGCGTTATCTTAGTTTTACCTTAGCTTTATCTTAGCTTCAGCTTAGCTTTAGCTTAGCTTTAACTTACAGTTAGCTGAGCTTTAGCTTAGCTTTAGCTTAGACTTAGCTCAGTTTTAGCTTAGCTTTAGCTTAGCTTTAGCTTAGCTTTAGCTTAGCTTTAGCTTAGCTTTAGCTTAGCTTTAGCTTAGCTTTACCTTAGCTGTAGCTTAGCTTCAGCTTGGGTTCAGCTTAGCTGCATCTTAGCTTTACCTTAGCTTCAACTTAGCTTTATCTTAGCTGTAGCTTAGCTTTAGCTTAGCTTTACCTTAGCTTTAGCCTAGCCGCAGCCCAGCTTTAGCTTAGGCTTAACTTAGCTTTAGCCTAGCTTTAGGCTAGCTTTAGCTTCGTGTTAGCTGAGCTTTCGCTTCGCTTTAGCTTAGCTTTAGCTTAGCTGCATCTTAGCTTTAGCCTCGCTTTAGGTGAGCTTTCGCTTAGCTTCAACTTAGCTGCAGCTTAGCTCTAGCTTAGCTTTAGCTTAACTTTAGCTTGGCGTTAGCTTAGCTATACTGTTACTACTAATGTTGTTTTCCTAGGGGCTCCAGCTCCTAGGTAGGGTCGCACTGGTATAGTTATTGTTATTCGTAGTTCGCCTTCTCCTTCTCTAGAGCTGATGGGCACAGTCGGGTCTGGCCTGTGCGAGCTCT